TGTAAGTTCCATCGCTAGCGGGAAATCAGGCCATGGACTATTCATTGTGCCCCATATTACCGGGTCTATGTCCCAAATGGCACCCTATTCCCTTTATACTGCACTACTTTTGACCAGATGTGGTGAACTATACAGTATAGGGAATACGGTGCCATTTGTGACTTAAGGTAATGGCTACCAAATCTTAAGGTAATGGCTAGTGACAGTGGCAAGTCTTTGCAGTCACCTTGGCTCGTCTCTCTGCCCGAACATACTCTAGTATGGGCCGGTCTCTCAGTAGAGTCATGGAGTCCCCCTCTTTGTTCTGAACCTACACCTCAGATTGTGCTTTTAATCAAATATCTTCGGTGGCTCCAAAAATGACAATAATGTTGTTCTACAGAGATAATACACTGCTCAAAAAAATTAAGGGAACACTAAAATAACACATCCTAGATCTGAATGAATGAAATAATCTTATTAAATACTTTTTTCTTTACATAGTTGAATGTGCTGACAACAAAATCACACAAAAATTATAAATGGAAATCAAATTTATCAACCCATGGAGGTCTGGATTTGGAGTCACCCTCAAAATTAAAGTGGAAAACCACACTACAGGCTGATCCAACGTTGATGTAATGTCCTTAAAACAAGTCAAAATGAGGCTCAGTAGTGTGTGTGGCCTCCACGTGCCTGTATGACCTCCCTACAACGCCTGGGCATGCTCCTGATGAGGTGGCGGATGGTCTCCTGAGGGATCTCCTCCCAGACCTGGACTAAAGCATCCGCCAACTCCTGGACAGTCTGTGGTGCAACGTGGCGTTGCACAACCCCCACCTGTGGACGTCAGGCCCTCATACCACCCTCATGGAGTCTGTTTCTGACCGTTTGAGCAGACACATGCACATTTGTGGCCTGCTGGAGGTCATTTTGCAGGGCTCTGGCAGTGCTCCTCCTAATCCTCCTTGCACAAAGGCGGAGGTAGCGGTCCTGCTGCTGGGTTGTTGCCCTCCTACGGCCTCCTCCACGTCTCCTGATGTACTGGCCTGTCTCCTGGTAGCGCCTCCATGCTCTGGACACTACGCTGACAGACACAGCAAACCTTCTTGCCACAGCTCGCATTGATGTGCCATCCTGGATGAGCTGCACTACCTGAGCCACTTGTGTGGGTTGTAGACTCCGTCTCATGCTACCACTAGAGTGAAAGCACCGCCAGCATTCAAAAGTGACCAAAACATCAGCCAGGAAGCATAGGAACTGAGAAGTGGTCTGTGGTCACCACCTGCAAAACCAGTCCTTTATTGGGGGTGTCTTGCTAATTGCCTATATTTTCCACCTGTTGTCTATTCCATTTGCACAACAGCATGTGAAATGTATTGTCAATCAGTGTTGCTTCCTAAGTGGACAGTTTGATTTCACAGAAGTGTGATTGACTTGGAGTTACATTGTGTTGTTTAAGTGTTCCCTTTATTTTTTTTGAGCAGTGTACTTTCCTGGATAAAGCAGTCATCAATTCAATTTAAAAGGGAAAGGTAGAATGTTACTTGATTTTTACTCACTGTGGAAAGGGGTGTGATATTTATTGGTAAATGGCATACATTATATATTACATTTTTTAAGCATACTATTACTGCCATAGACTTCCACAAGGTCCATAGCAGTCAACATGTGTATCATAAATCAATATACCATCTTGCTGGAGGAATAGTATTAGCATGAGATGAGAATGTTAGCTACCCATGGAAACTTTATGAGTAACCATGTTGTGTTGCCATAAGCGATAGCACTTCAATAACATTACAAATTATTCTATTGTGAAACTAACCATGACCAACCCCACAGGTATGCTTCAAAGTTTGGACTGTGGCTTGTGTAAGTGGATGATTGAGTTTGTTGCTGGAGTGATTTATGTTTGTAACTCTGAGTGCTATGCATTGTTAGCATCCCAAATGGCACCCTATTCTCTATACACATTAGTACCCTACATTTGACCTGGGCCCATAGGGCTCTGGTCAAAAGTAGTGCACTATGTAGGGAATATGGTGCCATTTTGGGTCACAGCCATTGGCTGTATTGGATTTCATTCCACTCGTCTCAAAATATGCATACAGATACATTATCCATAATTGGGCAAAGAAAAAGTCCACGAAAGGGAAAGTCAAGAGCTATTGATCATACAGTATATGTAAAGTGGAACCTCCCTAGCAATACTCATATTGCTGATAAAGTGGCGCAGTGGTCTAAGGCACTGCATCGCAGTGCAAACTGTGCCACTAGAGATCCTGGTTCGAATCCAGGCTCTGTCGCAGCCGGCCGCGACCGGGAGACCCATGGGGTGGCGCACAATTGGCCCAGCGTCGTCCAGGGTAGGGGAGGAAATGGCCGGCAGGGATGTAGCTCAGTTGATAGAGCATGGCGTTTGCAACGCCAGGGTTGTGGGTTCGATTCCCACGGGGGGGCAAGTATTAAAAAAATATATATGTATTCACTAACTGTAAGTCGCTCTGGATAAGAGTGTCTGCTAAATGACTAAAATGTAAATGTAAAATGTATAAACAGTGGGGAAAAAAAGTATTTTGTCAGCCACCAATTGTGCAAGTTCTCCCACTTAAAAAGATGAGAGAGGCCTGTAATTTTCATCGTAGGTACACGTCAACTTTGACAGACAAATTGAGATTTTTTTTCCCAGAAAATCACATTGTAGGATTTTTTATGAATTTATTTGCAAATTATGGTGGAAAATAAGTATTTGGTCACCTACAAACAAGCAACATTTCTGGCTCTCACAGACCTGTAACAACTTCTTTAAGAGGCTCCTCTGTCCTCCACTCGTTACCTGTATTAATGGCACCTGTTTGAACGTGTTATCAGTATAAAAGACACCTGTCCACAACCTCAAACAGTCACAGTCCAAACTCCACTATGGCCAAGACCAAAGAGCTGTCAAAGGACAACAGAAACACAATTGTAGACCTGCACCAGGCTGGGAAGACTGAATCTGCAATGGGTTAGCAGCTTGGTTTGAAGAAATCAACTGTGGGAGCAATTAATAGGAAATGGAAGACATACAAGACTACTGATAATCTCCCTCGATCTGGGGCTCCACGCAAGATCTCACCCCGTGGGGTCAAAATGATCACAAGAACGGTGAGCAAAAATCCCAGAACCACACGGGGGGACTTAGTGAATGACCTGCAGAGAGCTGGGACCAAAGTAACAAAGCCTACCATCAGTAACACACTACGCCGCCAGGGACTCAAATCCTGCAGTGCCAGACGTGTCCCCCTGCTTAAGCCAGTACATGTCCAGGCCCGTCTGAAGTTTGCTAGAGTGCATTTGGATGATCCAGAAGAGGATTGGGAGAATGTCATATGGTCAGATGAAACCAAAATATAACTTTTTGGTAAAAACTCAACTCGTCGTGTTTGGAGGACAAAGAATGCTGAGTTGCATCCAAAGAACACCATACCTACTGTGAAGCATGGGGGTGGAAACATCATGCTTTGGGGCTGTTTTTCTGCAAAGGGACCAGGACGACTGATCCGTGTAAAGGAAAGAATGAATGGGGCCATGTATCGTGAGATTTTGAGTGAAAACCTCCTTCCATCAGCAAGGGCATTGAAGATGAAACGTGGCTGGGTCTTTCAGCATGACAATGATCCCAAACACACCGCCCGGGCAACGAAGGAGTGGCTTCGTAAGAAGCATTTCAAGGTCCTGGAGTGGCCTAGCCAGTCTCCAGATCTCAACCCCATAGAAAATCTGGAGGGAATTGAAAGACTGTGTTGCCCAGCGACAGCCCCAAAACATCACTGCTCTAGAGGAGATCTGCATGGAGGAATGGGCCAAAATACCAGCAACAGTGTGTGAAAACCTTGTGAAGACTTACAGAAAACGTTTGACCTGTGTCATTGCCAACAAAGGGTATATAACAAAGTATTGAGAAACTTTTGTTATTGACCAAATACTTATTTTCGACCTTAATTTGCAAATAAATTCATTAAAAATCCTACAATGGAGATCTCATTGTGTCTGTCATAGTTGATGTGTACCTATGATGAAAATTACAGGCCTCTCTCATCTTTTTAAGTGGGAGAACTTGCACAATTGGTGGCTGACTAAATACTTTTTTCCCCCACTGTATTACTGCTAGCTGATTTACATTGCACCATAGTGGCTAACAATACATTTAGGTGGTGGTTGCAGCTCATGCCTAGTTTCCTGTAGTTCAGATGTGGCCACGTTAGATTTACAATGTGTTTCGTCAGCTGAATATTATGAAACTTCTATATTATCAAATTCCACTGATATGATGTATCAACTTGTATTTTATAGAGGCCAAGGCATTAACTATGCAATTAATAAAATACAACTAATAAAACTTGAAACTCTGAAAAAATATTGAAAATGTTTTTATTTTATTTTTTATTGTTAATAAAAGAAGTATAAAAATATAAATATAAAACAATATGACTTGGCATTCAAACAACATGAATTCAGTGTGTGACTGTTACCCTACAACGTACACATCCTTATTACATTGTACACCTACAGTATATGATGAAATGGCTCCACAGTTTGACGAATAAACCTAACCAACCATTCACATGAACATTGCTTGCCAAACAAAGATGGCGAATATGATATAGTATGTCCATCATGGAAAAGCAGTTCATACATATATCTATTTCAAATTTACTTTGCAGGAAAAGCTATTTTTTTCTCCAATAAACATTGATAGTATACAAGACTACTATCTCACTCCTCAGTTACAAAACACATTGTCCACACCATTGTTCACAAAATGTCCTAAAATTCAAAGGCATCTTTACTGATTATAACCAAAAACAGTAAAACAGTGAGAAATGTCACCACCAGTAGTGAGTTTAATGTTTAAGTCATGAATTCTACTTGACCAGCCATATGAATCAATGGATGGGTGGCAGGATAATGTGTGAGAGAGATTATCAATACATGTCGTTGATGATGAGCTCCTGTAGTATAGGCCTAACCGTGATCTAGGTTTCTCTCTCCGTGTCCTTCCCTATATACATGTCCGCTAGTTTTTTGAACGGCGGCCCCCAGTTGCTGAGGTAATCGTACTCCTGGTCCCCCTCCGTAGCTCCAGACTCCAGAGAGCTGAGGGACTCGGCTAGCGAGCCGCTCCCCTCATAGGCATAGGTGGCAAGGGAGTCATACGGGGGCGCGGTGGGGTCCGAGTCGTTCTCATGGAGCCTCCCGTGAATGAAGTCTCTGACGTCGGCGTTATCCTTTATAGGTGATGTCCTCCCGAAGGGAAACAGCATCTCTGGGATGATGTCCCTGCGCAGCTTGTTAGCGTCCATCACCTCCGGGTTACGCAGCGTGCCGATATCAAAGGCCTGGGTGTCCTCCTCTCCGCCCCCTTCATCGTTGTAGCTGACGACGTTGTCTCTCACATCCTCTTTGGAGATGATCAGAGGCTCCTTCTTCCTCTGTTGCCTCCTCAGGGCAGCGAACAGCACCACGATTACTACAGACACACACAGACAGACAGACAGAAAAACTTGAGTATGAGATGGGAGAGGAGAGGAGTGTGCTTCGATACATGTGCCATTCATTAAGTAAACTAAGGAATACACACCGGAGAGAAAGAGATTTGCTCTCAGTGACAAATACGCTGCACTGCCCCGGGCACTCACCTCCTTTAAATAAAGATTGAGCAGAACAAGCTTTTCTTTCTCTTTTCCCCTGAACATCACATTCACTGTAGAACATCTGTAGCACTTGAAAGAGCCCTTTATTTCCCTCTCTCTCAAGTCAGACTACCCGTACTCACATAATTAAATACATTTTATTCTATTTTCATTTCTGAGCAGGACTTTAAAGCCAAACTTTCCAGCTCAAGCAGGAATTTGCATCCAGAGAGTGGCGCTCTGAAAGCGTGGGATTTGTGTTGTTGATGGTACAGCTCATAATTTTCATGAAAAAGGAGCAAATGAGAATACAAATAATTCTCTCACATTGGGGCCTCCTCCTCATCCCCCTCCTCCTCTTTCTCACCTCTCAGCAGGTGCTGTAGTGCTCTACCTGCCTCCCACCCAGGTGTTAATTACAAAGCTCTTTCTGCAGGAGTGGCTCTTTAGAGGCCCAGTTACCAGGCCTTTCTGACTGATACCCTAGTGTTAGGCGGTGTGGGGTGGCATGGAGCAGTGTGATGCAGTGTGGAGGAGGAGGAGGAGGAGCGCAAACCGTTCCAGCTCAGCGTCAACTGCCTGCCTGTCTGTCTGCCTGTCTGTCAGAGGCGTAGTAGAGGTGAATTAGACAGCCTGTCAGAGGGGTTCAAGCGAGAAAACCATTGGATAATGAGCAGATGTCATGATATTTCGCTCAAGAGGCGAGCATGGGGTTCAACCTTCAGCACTTCCAATCTGCGTGAGCCAGAAGCCAGAGCTACAGTAGAGCTCTCTCCAGTGTCAGACAGACAAGTGAAGGGGGACTGTGAGGAGGAACAAGCACACCATGCAGTGGAATAAATGTAAATACTTTATTTGCTAGCGAGGGATCAGTGGCTAGGCGAGGATGCGAGCTAGATTCAAGTCGGGCGGAGATTATGGAACAAGTGTTTGTGAAAGGAAGAGAGCACACATGAACAGGTGAACACATCAACATATGAGCTGGGTCTAAGCAGTAGAGTGAGGAGGATGAATAGCATACACACTCATTTAAGCAATAAAAACATGAGAACCTGTGCATTATCATGAATAACACAGGGCTAAGGGCTGTTCTTAGCCACGACGCGAAGCAGAGTACACAAACAAAACTCAGTGGATTGGTATTTATGTTGCTGTTAGGTCACTCATTACCTTTAATTGGATAATTGAATATATCAACATCCTTAATAGGATCACGGATGATGCTGTTTAGGTAGCACTGGGGTTATGCTTGGCCAAATGCAATACCAGGTTCAAAGTCCTTATGCCCTTGAACATAAGGACTACATATTTATTGCTTTTTGCCGGGGAAAAGACATGCACACTTGCTGTTTTGCACTTTGTGCTTTTACATACTGCATTTGCTCACAAAGGAGGCTGAAGTGGTGCTTTAGGATGCCAGGAAATAGCATGTGACCTACTTTAGCAAGGGAAAACACAAATACCTTTTTGTCAAGTGGATATAACCAATAATAAAAGCTTTCATCCCGCTGCACCATATTCATGAGGAAACACACTATTTACACATGCAGCCAGCAAAATAATGTCTCAGTGAGTGGCCCTACTTTCAACTTTCTTTAGTTGAAGAAGTTTGATGATGAAAGGAATAACACAAAGCAATAACACAAAGCAATAACACAGAAGTAGCACAGAGGATTTAAGTGCTGTCGAAGGAGCTAGCTAGTACCTTCCGGATGCAAATGAAGTCCCTTCTCGCTCAGTAGGGTGCTATCACATTATGATCCAGGATATTTGTGGCTACAGACCAGTTCATTACACATGCAGTATAGTTTATTGTGGTAGAGTCCGACACAGCCTAGAATAATTGCTTCAGCTTTGTAATAAGTGACTTGGATTGCTGTGTCTTACTGTACTGTATGTTCAGACTTAAGAATACTACTTAAGTGCTCTGACTCTGTTTGATTTGGGCTTCTCCCAAATGGCACCATATTCCCTATATAGTGAGGGAAAAAAGTATTTGATCCCCTGCTGATTTTGTACGTTTGCCCACTGACAAAGAAATGATCAGTCTATAATTTTAATGGTAGGTTTATTTGAACAGTGAGAGACAGAATAACAACAAAAAAATCCAGTGATTGCCAACAAGGGTTTTGCCACCAAGTACTAAGTCATGTTTTGCAGAGGGGTCAAATACTTATTTCCCTCATTAAAATGCAAATCAATTTATAACATTTTTGACATGCGTTTTTCTGGATTTTTTTGTTGTTATTCTGTCTCTCACTGTTCAAATAGACCTACCATAAAAATTATAGACTGATCATTTCTTTGTCAGTGGGCAAACGTACAAAATCAGCAGGGGATCAAATACTTTTTTCCCTCACTGTATTGTGCACTACATTTGACCAGAGCCTTATGGGCTCTACACAGGGAATAGGGTGTCATTTGTTATGCGCCCATTGACTGTACCAGTGTGATTGATTGTGATACTTACTCAAGAGGATGATGACACAGAGCAGGATAGCCACCAGTGCTCCAGTGCTCAGCCCGGCAGACAGCAGAGCCTCTGTGTTGCAGGACTGCACGTTCCCCCGGCTGTCACAGGCACACACGTTCACAGTCAAAGTGCTGGTGCTGCTCTGGATAGGGTAGTCGTTGTCTGAGATCACCACGGGCAGTAGGTATGTATTCATCTCACGCCGGCTAAATCCTCCCCTTCGAGTGAGGATCCTGGCTGTGTTATCTAAGGGGTGGATCGCAGAGGGAAGGAAGAGGGGATATGAGAAATTAAAGGTTGTTTTTCATGTTTAGAACAAATGTTCTCTGTACTGATTGTAACATTGCAGCTCCATAGGTTACAAAAAAGTACATTTGTTAATACCATTCACACCACTAAGACCAGATAATGGCCAGATAAAAAGCATAAGGCTAACATTTAGCTACCTTCATTGTCAATGATAGTGAAATTTGGATTGGAGGAACTTATACTGAAGACAAACTTATGTCCAACAAGGGGCTCATCGGTGTCAACTGCACTTATCGTCTGAATCAGCTGTGGATAGTGAAACAAAAAGGCATTAGAAAACATATGTTTCTTCAGGCTTTTCTTCAGCATTTGTAGTATTATAATGTCATACATCTAATGTACCTGTCCAGACTTGACATTTTCACAGACAAATGTCTCGTAATACATGGCAAATTCAGGTGCATTGTCATTTACGTCCAGGACCCGTATGAACACTGGGACTCGAGTGGTTTGGCGAGGGTTATCTAAACAAGATGTTTGAAAACGTGTTAGTAGGCCCATACAGTAGACCCCTCAAATTAAAATCTGGACCTTGAAGCCAGTTCCACTGCTTTTTTTATTTCTTCCCCTCTAATCAGGGACTGATTTAGACCTGGGACACCAGGTGGGTGCAATTAATTATCAGGTAGAACAGAAAAACAGCAGTAGTCTGGACCTCATAGGGTAAGATTTGAATACACCTGCAGTAGACATTAGCAGATTCATTTTAAAAATAACATACAGTGCAGACCCCTTGACTTTTTCACATTTTGTTACGTTACAGCCTTATTCCCCTCATCAATCTACACACAATACCCCATAATGACAAAGCAAAAACAGTTTTTTAGTAATGTTTGCAACCCCCCACCACAAAAAAGGGAAATATCACATTTACATAAGTATTCAGAGCCTTTACTCAGTACTTTGTTGAAGCACCTTTGGCAGCGATTACAGCCTCGAGTCTTGGGTACGATTCTACAAGCTTGGCACACCTGTATTTGGGGAGTTTCTCCCATTGTTCTCTGCAGATCCTCTCAAACTCTGTCAGGTTGGATGGGGAGCGTCACTGCACAGCTATTTTCAGGTCTCTCCAGAGATGTTTGATCGGGTTCAAGTACGGGCTCTGGCTGGGCCACTCAAGAACATTCAGAGACTTGTCCCGAAGCCACTGCTGCGTTGTCTTGCCTGTGTGCTTAGGGTCATTGCTTAGGGTCATTGCTTAGGGTCATTGCCTGTGTGCTTAGGGTCAGAGCGCTCAGGGTCATATTATATTATTGTCCTGTTGGAAGGTGAACCGTTGCCCCAATCTGAGGTCCTGAGCGCTCTGGAGCAGGATTTGATCAAGGATTTCTCTATACTTTGCTCTGTTCATCTTTCTCTCCATCCTGACTAGTGTCCCAGTCCCAGCCGCTGAAAAACATCCCCACAGCATGATGCTGCCACCACCAAGCTTCAACGTAGGGATGGTATTGGCCAGGTGATGAGCGGTGCCAGAGTTCAATCTTGGTTTCATCAGACCAGAGAATGTTGTTTCTCATGGTCTGAGAGTCCTTTTGGTGCCTTTTGGCAAACTCCAAGCAGGCTGCTATGTGCCTTTTACTGAGGAGTGGCTTCAGTCTGGCCACTCTACCAAAAAGGTCTGATTGGTGGAGTGCTGCAGAGACGGTTGTCCTTCTGGAAGGTTGTCCTTCTGAAGCTCTGTCAGAGTGACCAATGGGTTCTTGTTCACCTCCCTGACCAAGGTCCTTCTCCCCCGATTGCTCAGTTTGGCCAGGCAGCCAGCTCTAGGAAGAGTCTTGGTGGTTTCAAACTTCTTCCATTTAAGAATGATGGAGGCCACTGTGTACTTGGGGACCTTCAATGCTGCATACATTTTTTGGTACCCTTCCCCAAATCTGTGCCTTGACACAATCCTGTCTCGGAGCTCTACGGACAATTCCTTCAACCTCATAGCTTGGTTTTTGCTCCATGCACTGTCAACTGTGGGACCTTATATAGACAGGTGTGTGGCTTTCCAAATCATGTCTAATCAATTGAATTTACCACAGGTGGACTCCAATCAAGTTGTAGAAACATCTCAAGGATGATCAATGGAAACAGGATGGGCCTGAGCTCAATTTCAAACAGTGCTCCACGGTGGGGTTATGGTATGGGAAGGCATAAGCTACGGACAACGAACACAATTGCATTTTATCGATGGCAATTTGAATGCACAGAGATACCGTGAAGAGATACTGAGGCCCATTGTAGTGCCATTCCTCCACCGCCATCACCTCATATTTCAGCATGATAATGCACGGTCCCATGTCGCAAGGATCTGTACACAATTCCTGGAAGCTGAAAATCTCCCAGTTCTTCCATGGCCTGCATACTCAACAGACATGTCACCCAGTGAGCATGTTTGGGATGCTCTGAATCGACGTGTACGACAGCGTGTTACAGTTCCTGCCAATGTCCAGCAACTTTGCACAGCCATTGAAGAGGAGTGGGACAACATTCCACAGGCCACAATCAACAGCTTGATCAACTGTATGCGAAAGAGGTCGCGCTGCATGAGGCAAATGGTGGTAACACCAGATACCGACTGGTTTTCTGATCCATGCCCCTACCATTTTTTTAAAAGGAATCTGCGACCAACGGAAGCATATATGTATTCCCAGTCATGTGAAATCCATATTTTAGGGCCTGATTGAATTCATTTCAATTGATTTATTTCCTTATAAGAGCTGTAACTCAATAAAATCTTTGAAATTGTTGCAAGTTGCGTTTTATATATTTGTTCAGTGTATGCCCCGACTGAACACAATCTACGGGAACAGTTCCTCTTGGGTCTTGAAGAGGGTGCCCTAACTCGTGACCTGATGACCTATGCCCGCTGTAACTTGGGACTGTGCTTTGACGACTTACGCCTGGAGGCCATGCTACTGCAAGAGGAACATGGTAGCAAAAACTGGGCTGAGGTAAAAATGTTCTGCTGTTGCAGAGTCTCGTTTGCACGAATCTGACTGAAAGCAGGCCCTTAAACACTTGGGATGCCGAAGGTAATCCAATCTGCTATCGCCGCAAACAGGCTGGAAACATAGCTAGGTTCTGTAGGGGGCTCTCCGAATCTGGGCCGGCTTTAAACTAGCCAGCCCTGCTGCTAAGGTCCGAGCGGTAGGGTCAGCTGGTTTTGCCAACTCAACTTTTATTGGAGACTGTCCAACAGTGGACATTTGTATAGATGGAGTTAAGCTCACTAGGCTATTAGATACTAGCTCTTAGGTCACCCTTATGCAACAGCAACTATTGAACAAACACTTCCCTAACAGCAAGATAGGGGTGGGAGAGGCTTCTTCAATTCTGACCCTAAAAGCTGCAAATGGCCTAGACATTCCATATGTAGGTTATGCAATCATGGATTTTTTAATTGAAGGTGTCAAGATACCAAACCTTGGAGTTGTGTCAAAGACGAATGTTCAACTAACCCCCTGATCGGGGCATGAACGATGAACGTTTTTAATGCATGTTGGGATACTTTATTTCAAAGCCAAGAGTGGCCAGTGTCTTTGTCCTGCCAGAACCCCAAGTCCCAACAGACCTGGAGACAAGCCTTTGCCACCTGCCAACAGACCATCGGCACCAGTGGAGGGGATGAGTCCCTGGGTTACGTCTGGCCCGCCAACCGACGAGGAATCCGTGTTCCAGCCAGGAACGAAGTTGTGCTATCGGGATGTGCCCGGATGGGCCCGCAGGGCAGTGACTCTGTGGGCTCGTGGAGGCCTTACTGGACCCAGATGCTGTAGGGGTGGCAAGAACACTGGCTGTGGTAAAAAATGGGAGAGTTCCAGTTCGTATTTTCAATCTGCACCCTTTCAGTCTGTCTATAGGCCACTACCGGAATCTGCAGAGTGTCAGTCGTGTTGATGAGGTGGATGTACATGGAGCTGGAGATCTGAGCCTGATGCTGGAGGGTGTAGTCCAGGTGGGCGTCGTGGAGCCCTGCACAATCCTAGAAGATGTGGAGTCCAGCTTTGATGTGAGCAGCCTGATGGACAGACCAGACCTCACTGAATAACAGCAAGCAGAACTCAGTGCTCTGCTGCAGAAGTGGGAGAAGGTTTTTGCTGCTAATGCTGAAGATTTTGGAAGGACTGACATTGTTCAACACAGAATACCTTAATGTTTCGGCCCTTAAATTGTATAATCTGCAAAAGCTCCAGTCCTTGGGTTGCTTAAATAGCTGAAGTGAGTAAGGTATATTTTGAGCGCAATAAACCTTTTGACCACTAGTGGGGGAAGTTGGCATTTTTGTGTAGATTAAAGTAAGTGGAACTTTGTGACTCACAAGGATTATTTTTCCCTTCCCAGAGACTCACCACACTCAACAAAGCAGAGTGGTTCACGACCCTAGACCTAGCCAGCGGATATTGCCAGGTGGAGATGGACCCACAGGACCGCGAAAAGACGGACTTCACCACACATGTAGGGCTCTATGAGTTTGACAGGATGCCCTTTGGGCTTTGTAATGCACCTGCCACCTTTGATAAAACAATGTCTCTGTGGGCAGATCACAGAGTCCCATTTAGTCTATCTTGATGAGATCATTGTCTATACTTCTGACTTCTCATCCCACTTGCAGCACCTTGACAGGGTCTTTGAGAGACTTGAGACATGGACTGAAGCTGAAACCTAGAAAGTGTAAGTTTCAACAGCAGGTAAAATTCCTGATGCATGTGGTAGACAGGAGTGGAGTCATGCCTGACCCAGACAAGATGTATTCTGTTACTGACAGGGCCACCTCGACCACGGTCAAACAGGTCAAGGCTTTCCTTTCCTTTCCTAGGCCTAGCGGGGTCAAGGCTTTCCTTTCCTTTCCTAGGCCTAGTCGGGGTACTACAGACGTGTTGTATAAGGATTTGCTAAGATTGCACGCCCCTTCCTGCTGACAAGAGGTCAGGGATCAATAAGGTCAATTGGTCGCCAGCCTGTCAATCCTCGTTTGAGCAACTGAAGGCAGCCCTAACCCAGGACCCAGTCTTGTCTTTTTCCTACTCTTTGTAGTTTACACTGATGCCAGTAACCAAGGGCTTGGGGCAGTCCTAGCTCAAATGCAAGATGGCCGTGAGCGTGTGATAGCCTACACTAGTCGCAGCCTGCACCCAACTGAATGTAATGATGCTAACTACAGCTCTTTCAAGTTAGAACTCCGGGCCTTGAAATGGGCCATCACAGAGAAATTTCAGCACTACCTGACGGGGACTAAGTTAACTGTTTTTAACAGATAATAACCCAGTTGCTCATCTACAAACTGCCCAGCTGGGTGTTGTGGAGCAAAGGTGGGTTGCCCAACTCCCCTCTTTTGATTTCACTGTGAAGTGTCGTTCTGAGTAAGAGAACACTAACGCTGATGCCCTGTCTAGGTTCCCACCAGTCTCCTTGCCCACAGGAAATGTGACCAGCTGCATACCGGCCGGCATGAACCTGACCACTGCTGTGGCAGCACGAGGTCCACAGGAGGACTCTGAGCTGCCTTGGGACGATTGAAAAACCTGGCAAGAAGGTGTCCCTGATGTTCAGAAAGTCAAGCTGTATGTTGGAATGGGATTGATGCCAGGGAGCCTAGAGAGGAGGGCTGTGCCCCAAAAAGTAAAATGTCTGTTCCAACAACAGAGGAAACTAAAGATCTGTAAAGATGTGCTGTGCCATGAAGTAATTAACTCTAACACCCATGAGCAACTCTCCCAGATTGTCTGCCCAGCATCTAGGTGCAGAGAGGTGTGGAGGAAGTACCATGTGACTGCCGACCCAGGAGTGGAGCGGACCTTGTCCAGCATTCGGCGACACTTCTACTGGCCATGCATGGAGGAGGAGGTATGGCGTTTCCACTCTGGATGTGTTGTCTGTAGCCTGCAGAGAGACAGGGTACAGGCCAGGGCCGCCTTAAACCCCATTCCAGTGTCCTTCCCCCTGGAAGTGGTTGCCCTAGACTACCCCTCCCTCAGTAGGCCCCTAGATAGTTATCAAAATATCTCAGTCATGATTGACATGTTTACCTGATATGCATGGGCTGTCCCTACTCGTGATCAGACAGCAAAAACCACAGTCGGAGCAGTGTGGTCCCATGCAGTCCAGACATTTTGGTTGCCCCTCCCATTTCCACTCTGATATGAGCCCAAATTTTGTGTCAGCTTTGATGCAACAAGTCTGTGAAATGTATGGCATCTCTAAGAGTAGTATGACCCCATACAATCCAGCAGGGAATGGCAGGGTTGAACGGATGAACAAAACATTGTTGAACATGTTGCGCACCTTGGAGGCAGAGAAGTGGAGTAGGTGGCCAGAGCACATCCCAAGCTATTTCAAGGCTACAACAACACTATGCATAGCTCCACAGGCTATGTACCGACGTATCTCATGTTTGGTTGCCACTTAAGACTCCCAGTAGATGTTAGGCGTAAATCCCCCTAAGCCAAAGCACAACCCCAGTGAGTGGGTTAGTGACCATCACCAAAGGTTGACCTTTGCTTATGACCTAGCCAAAAATAAAATGGGGGACACAGCTGAGCAACACAAGAAGGACTATGACTGCAAAGCACAGGCTTTATCCGTACTTCCGGGTGAGCGGGTGTGGGTGCGAGACAGGAACAGGCAGGGACAGGGTGAGCTGCACAGCTGGTGGAATCCAGAACCCCACGTAGTTGTAGGTCAAGTAGCCGACACCGGGGTCGTATACAAAGTCAGACCACAGAAGGATGGGAAAGAGAGAACCCTACACAGAAATGCCCTTAAACATTGTATTGCCCCAGAAGGTGAAACCCCTGAACAGGAACTTACACCCATAGTTGAGGCAGAGGCTGGAGTAGACCCCCCATTCTATGTTTTTTTATGTTGTCCCTGCTGCTGAGCCCCATGAAGCAGATGTTATACCCCTGCGCTCCACTTGGGCTAGCCTTGGACAACCACCAGCTCATTAAAGTTTGGGGATGTCACGCTGCTGTGGACACTAAACTTTGATTTAATTGGAAAGGCTCACATTGTTGCAGACTGATTTTCCTACACGATTGCCTGAAACATTGATTATTCCATTATATTGTATTTTCATGTTTATTTGAGTTTTCTTCCTAATACTCACTCCCGCCGTGAATGCTGAACTTCCTAATGAGGACAATTCGGTCTGATAAGCGGCCCTCTGAGCCAACCGAAACTGTGGGCGCTACCCGTGTGGACCTATGGGGCTGGGACAGTGGTTGTCCATCCTGGTTGTGACCAGATATATGCAGATGTGGAATGACTGGAGCGGAACGCTGTGGATATCACGCAGGAAGATTGTAAGTAGACTTGGTCTATTTTATGTAGTGGAAGATGCACCGATTATAGTGCCGGCTATGGGTCCTCGCTGGATTTGCTGCTGTGCTCGGTTGGTCAGCTATAATGGCTAATATTAGTTAAGTTATGTGGTGATTTAGCGTTATTTGCACATTGCACCGTTTATACTTGAATATTACACAGATTCCTTGGTTTGAGATTTTATACATTTAAAACTCTTGCCAATTTTGCACATTCTTGCCAGAGTGCACGTATCTGTGGGACAAGGCGCTGGCCAGTATTCTCTGTGTTTTAGAGAACTCCAACGCTTCTGGGCTGCAGATGTTTTATTCTAACTTATCTAAGTTCCTCATAACCACACCTAGGTGGCGTAGTTCAGCTACATTACATATACCCTTTGGCTGCCTGACACATGCATAGACATTTTTTGCAAAACAAGGTAAAGAAAAGGGATTATAATCTTACTTATTTCAGTTGCAACAACAGAGATGTTATGCCATTTGGACATCTCCCTGTCGAGGGCTTTCAGTGTTGTAATGGTGCCATTTACAGAATCAATGTTGAATAGTCTCTCCAGATCGGTATGGCGGTCAATGGAGTATCTGCAGAGAGTAATACAAATACATAATTTGATTGTGTAAAAATATCCACATTTTTTATATACCCATATCTACACATTAAACAAATTAAAGAATCTGGACATTATTTATTTCCCCCGACAGTAGGCCATTTGCACAAGGCTGTCCCTGTTTCTTGTAATCAATTCCATCAAGTCCCCTGTAGCTCAGTTGGTAGAGCATGGCGCTTGCAACGCCAGGGTTGGGGTTCGTTTCCCACGTGGGGCCAGTATGAAAATGTATGCACTCACTAACTGTAAGTCGCTCTGGATAAGAGCGTCTGCTAAATGACTTAAACGTAAATACCATTACATTAGAGCATAATAACACACGCCTCTATGAGAAAATACATTACAAATCACCCATTGTTGGTCCCCACATTCCTCTATTTCCTTTGTCAGGAAATGATGAATCCTTCTATACTACTGTCTCATTCATCACTGTCAACTTACATATTCCACTGACATTTCATGATTTGCAACACAATCCTCCCATGCTGCACAAGCAGAGACTGGCATGTCTCCATGTTGGAGACAGACAGACAGATACACAGACATATACACAGACAGAAAAAGACACAAACAGACAGGCACCATATGTGTGGAATGGCAGAACAGAGCAGTGTGAATCGATAGAGCAAATGAGGCTCTTTCACTTTGACTTTGTGCCGCTACCGCACTGGGCTAGTTTACATAATTATGTGGATATAAACAGGGTCTGTATTCTCTTCACAGTGCCACAAACTTCCGCTGGGAAATCACCAGGAGGGACCCATGAATAATTTGCTTTTCTTCAAACCTCCCTTCCCCTCTCCCTCCCTCACTCCACACTGACACTAGGATAAACTGATGGATTAGATTTAGCCAAGCTAACCATATTTCCACCCCCCCAAAAAAACAGATTAGAGGAAACTTTGAATTGTTGTTATAGACTTGATACCACACCAAGAATCATTTGTTTCTCTTGCTGCGTTTATTCTTACACCATAACCGTCCATTAGGTCATAAAACAATCAAATTACCTCAAACGGCTTTATTCAGCAGGAGAACATAAAATCAAATCAATCTAATTTTATTTGTCACATACACCGAATACAACAATGAACTGCTTACTTACGAGCCCTTACCCGACAATGCAAAGTAAAATAGTACAAAAAGTAGCAAATAAAAACAGTAACACAATAGATAACAAAAACAAGGCTATATACAACAAGTACCGGTACAGAACCAATGTGCAGTGGTATGAGGTAATACAGTTGAAGTCGGAAGTTTACATACACTTAGGTTTTTCAACCACTCCACAAATGTCTTGTTAACAAACTATAGTTTTGGCAAGTCGGTTAGGACATATACCTTGTGCATGACACAAGTAATTTTTCCAACAATTGTTTACAGACAGATTATTTATAATTTTAATTTGTGCTTTGCTGCAGGAGGGACTGTTGCACTTCACAAAATTGATGGCATCATGAGGAATGAAAATGATGTGGATATATTGAAGCAACATCTCAAGACATCAGTCAGGAATCTTTTTTTATTTTACCTTTATTTAACCAGGTAAGCCAGTTGAGAACAAGTTCTCATTTACAACTGCGAGCTGGCCAAGATAAAGTAAAGCAGTGCGATAAAAACAACAACACAGAGTTACATATGGGGTAAAACAAAACATAAAGTCAAAAATACCACAGAAAATACACTGCTCAAAAAAATAAAGGGAACACTTAAACAACACAATGTAACTCCAAGTCAATCACACTTCTGTGAAATCAAACTGTCCACTTAGGAAGCAACACTGATTGACAATAAATTTCACATGCTGTTGTGCAAATGGAATAGACAACAGGTGGAAATTATAGGCAATTAGCAAGACACCCCCAATAAAGGACTGGTTTTGCAGGTGGTGACCACAGACCACTTCTCAGTTCCTATGCTTCCTGGCTGATGTTTTGGTCACTTTTGAATGCTGGCGGTGCTTTCACTCTAGTGGTAGCATGAGACGGAGTCTACAACCCACACAAGTGGCTCAGGTAGTGCAGCTCATCCAGGATGGCACATCAATGCGAGCTGTGGCAAGAAGGTTTGCTGTGTCTGTCAGCGTAGTGTCCAGAGCATGGAGGCGCTACCAGGAGACAGGCCAGTACATCAGGAGACGTGGAGGAGGCCGTAGGAGGGCAACAACCCAGCAGCAGGACTGCTACCTCCGCCTTTGTGCAAGGAGGAGCAGGAGGAGCACTGCCAGAGCCCTGCAAAATGATCTCCATAGTCAGAAACAGACTCCATGAGGGTGGTATGAGGACCCGACGTCCACAGGTGGAGGTTGTCCTTACAGCCCAACACCATGCAGGACATTTGGCATTTGCCAGAGAACACCAAGATTGGCAAATTCACCACTGGCGCCCTGTGCTCTTCACAGATCAAAGCAGGTTCACACTGAGCACGTGACAGACGTGACAGAGTCTGGAGACGCCGTGGAGAACGTTCTGCTGCCTGCAACATCCTCCAGCATGACCGGTTTGGCGGTGGGTCAGTCATGTCAGGAGACCATCCACCACCTCATCAGGAGCATGCCCAGGCATTGTAGGGAGGTCATACAGGCACGTGGAGGCCACACACACTACTGAGCCTCATTTTGACTAGTTTTAAGGACATTACATCAAAGTTGGATCAGCCTGTAGTGTGGTTTTCCACTTTAATTTTGAGGGTGACTCCAAATCCAGACCTCCATGGGTTGATACATTTGATTTCCATTGATACTTTTTGTGTGATTTTGTTGTCAGCACATTCAACTATGTAAAGAAAAAAGTATTTAATAAGATTATTTCATTCATTCAGATCTAGGATGTGTTATTTTAGTGTTCCCTTTATTTTTTTGAGCAGTGTATATATATAGTGTGTGCAATTGTAGCAAGTTATTAGGCAATACATAGGCCATAGTGCAAAATAATTACAATTAGTATTAACACTGGAATGATAGATGTGCAAGAGATGATGTGCAAATAGAGATACTGGGGTGCAAATTAGCAAAATAAATAACAATATGGGGATGAGGTAGTTGAGTGGGCTAATTTCAGAAGGGCTGTGTACAGGTGCAGTGATCGGTAAGGTGCTCTGACAACTGATGCTTAAAGTTAGTGAGGGAGATAAGAGTCTCCAGCTTCAGAGATTTTTGCAGTTCGTTCCAGTCATTGGCAGCAGAGAACTGGAGGGCATGGCAGCAAAGGAGGTGTTGGCTTTGGGGATGACCAGTGAGATATACAGTGGGGGAAAAAGTATTTAGTCAGCCACCAATTGTGCAAGTTCTCCCACTTAAAAAGATGAGAGCGGCCTGTAATTTTCATCATAGGTACACGTCAACTATGACAGACAAATTGAGAAAAAAAATTCCTGAAAATCACATTGTAGGATTTTTAATGAATTTATTTGCAAATTATGGTGGAAAATAAGTATTTGGTCACCTACAAACAAGCAAGATTTCTGGCTCTCACAGACCTGTAACTTCTTCTTTAAGAGGCTCCTCTGTCCTCCACTCGTTACCTGTATTAATGGCACCTGTTTGAACTTGTTATCAGTATAAAAGACACCTGTCCACAACCTCAAACAGTCACACTCCAAACTCCACTATGGCCAAGACCAAAGAGCTGTCAAAGGACACCAGAAACAAAATTGTAGACCTGCACCTGGCTGGGAAGACTGAATCTGCAATAGGTAAGCAGCTTGGTTTGAAGAAATCAACTGTGGGAGCAATTATTAGGAAATGGAAGACATACAAGACCACTGATAATCTCCCTCGATCTGGGGCTCCACGCAAGATCTCACCCCGTGGGGTCAAAATGATCACAAGAACGGTGAGCAAAAATCCCAGAACCACACGGGGGGACCTAGTGAATGACCTGCAGAGAGCTGGGACCAAAGTAACAAAGCCTACCATCAGTAACACACTACGCCGCCAGGGACTCAAATCCTGCAGTGCAAGATGTGTCCCCCTGCTTAAGCCAGTACATGTCCAGGCCCGTCTGAAGTTTGCTAGAGTGCATTTGGATGATCCAGAAGAGGATTGGGAGAATGTCATATGGTCAGATGAAACCAAAATATAACTTTTTGGTAAAAACTCAACTCGTCGTGTTTGGAGGACAAAGAATGCTGAGTTGCATTCAAAGAACACCATATCTACTGTGAAGCATGGGAGTGGAAACATCAGGATGCAAATTTCTGTTTGAAAAAGCTAGCCTTTGCTTTCCTAACTGCTTGTGTATATTGGTTCCTAACTTCCCTGAAAAGTTGCATATCGCGGGGGCTATTCGATGCTAAAGCAGTACGCCACAGGATGTTTTTGTGCTGGTCAAGGGCAATCAAGTCAGAGGAGAACCAGGGGCTATATCTGTTCTTAGTTCTGCATTTTTTGAATGGGGCATGCTTATTTAAGATTGAGAGGAAAGCACTTTTAAAGAACAACCAGGCATCCTCTACTGACGGAATGAGATCGATATCCATCCAGGATACCTGGGCCAGGTCGATTAGGAAGGCCTGCTCGCTAAAGTGTTTTAGGGAGCGTTTGACAGTGATGAGGGGTGGTCGTTTGACCGCGGACCCGTTACGGACGCAGGCAATAAGGCAGTGATCGCTGAGATCCTGGTTGAAGACAGCGGAGGTGTATTTAGAGGGTAAGTTAGTCAGGATGATGTCTATGAGGGTCCCCATGTTTACGGATTTAGGGTTGTACTTGGTAGGTTCCTTGATAATTTGTGTGAGATTGAGGGCATCTAGTTTAGATTGTAGGATGGCCGGGGTGTTAAGCATATCCCAAATGGGTCTTCCAAATGGACAATGACCCCAAGTTGTGGCAAAATGGCTTAAGGACAACAAAGTCAAGGTATTGGAGTGGCCATCACAAAGCCCTGACCGCAATCCTATTGAAGATTTGTGGGCAGAACTGAAAAAGCGTGTGCGAGCAAGGAGGCCTGTAAACCTGACTCAGTTACACCAGCTCTGTCAGGAGGAATGGGCCAAAATTCACCCAACTTATTGTGGGAAGCTTGTGGAAGGCTACCCGAAACGTTTGACCCAAGTTAAACAATTTAAAGGCAATGCTACCAAATACTAATTGAATGTATGTAAACTTCTGACCTACTGGTAATGTGATGAAAGAAATAAAAGCTGAAATAAATAATTCTCTCTACTATTATTCTGACATTTCACATTCTTAAAATAAAGTGGTGATCCTAACTGACCTAAAACAGGGGATTTTTACTAGGATTAAATGTCAGGAATTGTGAAAAACTGAGTTTAAATGTATTTGGCTAAGGTGTATGTAAACGTCCGACTTCAACTGTATGTACATGTAGGTAGGGGTAAAAGTAACTAGGCAATTAGGATAGATAACAAACAGAGTAGCAGCAGTGTATGTGAAGAGTGTGTGTGTGTGTGTGTGTGTGTGTGTGTGTTTGTGTGTGTGGCGTCAATTTGATATGTCTCTGTGTGAGTATGTTTTGGAGTGTCAGTGTAAGTATGTGTGAGTAGAATCCAGTGAGTGTGCATCGTCAGTTCAAGAGAGTTAGTGCAAAAAAGGGTCAATGCAAATAGTCCGGGTAATCATTTGATTAACTGTTCAGCAGTCATGGCTTGGAGGTAGAAACTGTTCAGGAGCCTTTTGGTCCCAGACTTGGCGCTTGCCATATAAACAATCAGTAAGTCAACTAATCACCAATCACACATAGTCAATCAATCAACCACATCCTCTGGATGAACAGAATCTATAAAAAAGATGAGACAGATTAGTTCAGTGTATGTATGTGTAACCGAGTTGGATTAGTAACCTCGCTCCTCGGGATGACATTCCACCACACGTGCCATTGAATTGTTAACTTTATACTGTTACGCAAGCAGTGTGACCCTCGTCACATGATCACTTACTTGACTGGGTTGTTGTCAGCATCGGGGTCCCTGGCTGACACCACACCAACAAAGCTGCCAGCGGCTGTATCCTCGTGCACCTCGATGATGTAAGGGTTCCTGCTGAACACTGGCGGCTCATCCACATCCTCTATTGTCACCCGCACCATGGCGTCATCTTTGAACGGAGGGTTGGGACTGTACATGAACCTGGGGTCCAGATAGGTGTTGGTAACCTCCACTTTAAATGAGAATGTCTTTTTTTTCTCGTAATCCAGTTGCTATTAAGAAAATGAAACAGATACATGATCAATAATTATTCAATATAATTAATATACTATCATAACTGTACGTCCTTTCATAACTGTAGGTTGATACTTTAGTTGATAAACTTGGTGGATTCTTGGTTGAAGTAAAAACGAGTGAATGAGTAAAGTATAGTGGAGCTCCCCACCTATACTCTATACAGCTTTATATTGTTCATTCTCAAGGCCTACACTCTTAGAAAATGAGTTTAAAAAAATAACACATCCTTGTGTCTAGTTAGGGACCGACACATGTTGACACAACATGATTTGTGTAAATGTTTCAACACATTTTGTGTCAATTCCTGCAATTAATGTGAAAAAGCTGAAAACCATACAGATGTGTTAGATTATTGACCAATCATATTGCAGATCTGAAGATAAAGGTAAATAACATTTAAACTAATCCAATCAGTTAGATTTTTTGCACCCGTTCCTGAAATGGTTGTTCAAGTATAAATGGCTTAGGTAGTCTCTTCATAATGTTCCTAACCTTGGCAGTCATTCTATAGCCACAGAAAGTAGGGGTGCTGAGGGTGCTGCTGTACCCCATAAATAATATATATATATATATTTTTTTAAGGTTATTCGCAAAAGTAGTGCACTGGGCCTTTACAACTCCTGTATTAGTGGACCAACATAGAGTACCACAGTATGTGTCATAATACACATAAAACCTTGCGGTCAGACAAGGAAATGGTTCCAATCGTTTTTCCACCATTCATTTTTCCCATATGGGTATTTTAGAAACACTTAAAATAAAGGCTTTGTTTCGTGTAGGCTTACCCTGGCGTGACGTTTTGATAACCGTGTAAATCTCTCAGGAAACATTTTTTCTCTCACAAAGTAGTGCACTGGGCCTTTACTACTCCTGTATCAGAGCTGGTCCTGGCCATTCTGCCACTCTAGGCAAGATTAAAATATTGCCGTCGCTCGCAAAACTAGAATAGTCTCAGTAAGCAAAATCACGTTAAAAAGATGCATATTTCAGTTAGTTATTTTTGGCCACCTGTGAGTGGAAGTATTGTACCAGTTTAAATGGTCTATGGTAGAGGTACATTACTACCTCTGATAAGGAATACGTGGCTACCATATCCAACAACAGTCAATTCTCGTGTATCTCAGGTACAAAATTGTCTGTTGGTTTCCCTGGACTGCATATCTAACTAGCACTAACACGTTTAAAGTCTTTCATGTAGGGTATTTTGCATGTACAAGTTTGTATGTGGAGCACTGCATTAATTAAATGGTTACTTTTTCTACACGTCTTCCTCAGTCATTTACATAATTTAAAAGTGGATTTAAGTGGAATGCAATACAATACACTGAATTCGGAAAGTATTCAGACACATTGACTTTTTCCACATTTGTTACGTTACAGCCTTCTTCTAAAATTGATTAAATTGTTTATTTTTTTCAATCTTCACACAATACCCCATAATGACAAAGCAAAAAAATGGTTAATAAAAAATAAAAAATAATAACTTATTTACATAAGTATTCAGACCTTTTGCTATGAGACTCAAGATTGAGCTCAGGTGCATCCTTTTTCCATTGATCATCCTTGAGATGTTTCTACAACTTGATTGCAGTCCACCTGTGGTAAATTCAATTGATTGGACATGATTTGGAAAGGCACACACCTGTCTATTTAAGGGCCCACAGTTTATTGCGCATGTCAGAGCAAGCATGAGGTTGAAGGAATTGGCCGTAGAGCTCCGAGACAGGATTGTGTCAAGGCACAGATCTGGGAAAGGGTACTGCAGCATTGAAGGTCCCCAAGAACACAGTGGCCTCCATCATTCTTAAATGGAAGAAGTTTGGAACCACCAAGACTCTTCCTAGAGCTGGCCGGTCGGCCAAACTGAGCGATCGGGGGAGAAGGGCCTTTGTCAGTGAGGTGACCAAGAACCCGGTGGTCACTCTGACAGAGATCCAGAGTTCCTCTGTAGAGATGGGAGAACCTTCCAGAAGGACAACAATCTCTGCAGCACTCCACCAATCAGGCCTTTATGGTAGAGTGGCCAGACGGAAGCCACTCCTTAGTTAAAGGCACATGACAGTCCGCTTGAAGTTTGCCAAAAGGCACCTAAAGAACTCTCAGACCATGAGAAACAAGATTCTCTGGTCCGATGAAACTAAGATGGAACTCTTTGGCCTGTATGCCAAGCGTCATGTCTGGAGGAAACCTGGCACCATCCCTACGGTGAAGTATGGTGGTGGTGGCAGCATCATGCTGTGGGGATGTTTTTCAGTGGCAGAGATTGGGAGACTAGTCAGGATCAAGGGAAAATGAGCGGAGCAAAGTACAGAGAAATCCATGATCAAAACCTGCTCCAGAGCGCTCAGGACCTCAGACTGGAGCGTAGGTTCACCTTCCAACAGGACAACTACCCTAAGCACACAGCAAAGACAATGCAGGAGCGGCTTCAGGACAAGTCTCTGAATGTCCTTGAGTGGCCCAGCCAGAGAACGGACATGAACCCGATCGAACATCTCTGGAGAGACCTGCAAATAGCTGTGCAGCAACTCTCCCCTGCCAACCTGAGAGCTTGAGAGGATCTGCAGAGAAGAATGGGAGAAACTCCCCAAATACAGGTGTGCCAAGCTTGTAGCGTCATACTCAAGAAGAGTCGAGGCTGTAATCGCTGTGAAAGGTGCTTCAACAAAGTACTAAGTAAAGGATCTGAATACTTATGTAAATGTGATATTTCCTGTATATTCTTTCATTATGGGGTATTGTGTGTAGATTGATGAATAAGGCTGTAACATAACAAAATGTGGAAAAAGTCAAGGGGTCAGAATACTTTCCGAATGCACTGTATATGTAAAAAAAAAACAAACATTTTTTTACACATCCGTGTGTACACTTAGGGATGACACGTTACATTTAACATAATCATTCTGTTAAAAAATGTACACAACGTGTTCAATGTGACAACACGGTGACTGTGTTGAAAGTAACACGTCGTCCCTAATTAGACACAGACGTGTTGTTTTTAATACATCTGTTCTAAGAGAATAGATACATGATGACTTCTGATCCACAATGTGATTGGTCAATAATCTAACACATCTAGGGTGTGTTGAGAGGTTTTCAGATTTTAACACAGTAATTGCAGGAATTGACACAAAATGTGTTTAAGAATGTACACATCATGCTGTGCCAACACAGTGATTGTGTTAAAAGTAACATGACGTGTCATCCCAGATCTGTTAAAAATAACTAAGAGTGTACTCTATCAATAACTGGGGGTGAATTTGAATATTCTTTAGTGCACCTTCAGATATAAAGGACTGCTATCAGGGTGTAATTTTTCATCTGAGCGTATGTATACAGTACGTACGCACCATCCACTTTTCACTTAGGTTCTTCAATTTGCATAATTTGCTGAGGCTCTGAAAAGTATGGCCCTGGCTAAGAAAAGAAAAGCTAAACCTGGATTTCAAAAGTCTCAAAGACTCTTTATACAAATTCCCAGGAGGAATAAGGGTCTCTTGACAGCGAAAATAATTAAGTACTTTCATGAAGATGATAATAAAAGACGGGTTTAGTTCAGAGAGAGGATCACTCTGTCTGCACACAAAGTGGTATCTTGTGATTTGAAGCAGTGGGGTCATAGGAGATGAAAACATGAGAGCGTTGCACTCAGGAGTTTATGGGCTACCTTTTTCACCCTGATAATGCCCTCCTGTGTGTTTTGGTCAGTGATGATGGTGAACATGTCCTGTCCTTCTCGGTCGACGATGCTATACAGCATCTCAGAATTCCGCCCCACATCCGCATCGTTAGCCTTGATCCGACCTATGGCAGCTCCTATTTCAGCCAACTCCAGAGTGCTCAGACGAAATGTATCTGGGGAGATGAAGAAAAAATATGATTTATAAAAAAGAACAGAATAAGCACTGAGACTGAGTTGTGTCTCCCAGATTCTTTGCACTCTGGGACAATGTGATTCTGTATGTTTTTAAAATGTTTGTTTACCTGATTCTCCAGGGAAATGCTAAGCTGTTTGTTAGTTTTTCTATAAACTTTCAAATTCAATTTAGTATTGTCGTTTTTTGTGCAATTTTCCTTGTGTGGGAATGTTTGGGTATGTTATCATTAGTTGTGGGACTCCTTCAGAAAGGATTATTTCGTACAGATGGCTCTCTTTGGGACTATGATGCCGTCCTACCTGTAGGCTACATACAGTACATAGCACAACATCTGCTTTTCAACAGACATTAAAGTTTCAGTATAGTGGTAGTAAATGGCTTATTGGTTATGTCTTAACACCTTATCTGACACTGACAGTAGACAGAGGTCACAAGATATTGTTGAGAGGCCTACAAGCTAGAAGAATGTCGACTCGGTTCAAACAGTGTTGCACAGTTATAAAGCACATACATGTACAGAATAGCATTGTGTGCCTTCATGGAAAACAGAAGGTCAACAAGGAGAGTGGAATGGAGTCTTACGGTTGGCGAAGCGGGGTGGGCTGTCGTTCTCATCAGAGAGGGTGATGCTGACTGTGGTGGTTCCTGATAGCCCACCCATCTGGCCAGCCATGTCTTTAGCCTGGATCACAACCTGGTAGTTCTCCTTCGTCTCCCTGTCCATGTTGGGCAGGGCTGTCCTGATCGTGCCTGAGTGAGAAAATAGACTACTATCAGTATATATAAGTATGACTGGTGTATGATTGGTCAGGTTTAACATGAGTTTAAAATAATAAAGATCTACTTAATTTAGAATAAACAATAATCTCCATTGCCAGTAATCAGTATGAGCGCAATATATTACAAATATTGTTGAGTTATCAAATGAAGGCATCAAAAGCTGAACACCAATGTATATTTACACCACACCAACAGTTCACGACAGACATTACCCCACAAATAAAATATCATTGCTCTTGATTCAGACAAGAGAGGAAACCTTTCGCCTCAACTCACTTCTCATTCACAAAGAAAAACACCCCATACTGAGCGCTGCTGGGTCTCTTTTTGCAGAGAGATACACACATGATCCCTCCTTTCAAGTGTTTGCGTGCCCATTTTGATTGTTGGGAATAGCTTACCATTGTCTGAATCAACTGAAAAATAGGGTTGACCCTGTAGAATACTGTACACAAGCTTGGCACTGTTCCCGTATGTTTGATCGTCAGCATCTGTCGCGGTGACTTGTATAACTGATGTGCCTGTGGAGGAGAAGATAGAGATAAAGCACATATCCATACATCCAAGATAAAGCACATATCCATACATCCAAGATAAAGCACATATCCATACATCCAAGATAAAGCACATAGCCATACATCAAATTTAAGTACACATGGAGCAATTATTAGGAATGCTCTAGCATGCATATAATAGTCATTATAACCACAATTCAATTTGATGAATTAATTTGAAATGTGATCCAGCTCAAAGGGAGGCAGAAGTTGTGAGACATTGCCCAGTGAAATATGCACAACAAAACATCCCAATATAATCATCTAATAAAATAAAGGTGCAAGTTGGAATCAAATACGGTTCTTGAGAGCAATGGCATCGGGCCTTCAAACTCATCTCTGGACCTCAAAGCCAGTTCCACTGCATTTGTTTCATTGTTCCCCTCTAATCAGGGACTGATTTAGACCTAGGATGCCAGGTTGGTACAATTAATTATCAGGTAGAACAGAAAACCAGCAGGCTCTGGACCTCGTAGAGTAAGAGATGAATACCCCTGCCATGGGGGAACCATTTTAGGGTCTCTGAATAACCATAAATGGGATGGTTCTTTGAAGAACCATACAAAAATCCAAAACCAGAGATGTTTTGGCCCTCCAGGGCGAGAATGCAATACTTCTGCTGTAGGTTTTTAAGCCTTATTTGCATATTTCCCAGGGTGACTTCTGAGTTAATTTTTGTTACCAGTACCACCCAGGACTGTGTATGCTAGTGACAGAGAGATGGTTGTTACATTCATGAATTTTCAGTCCTGTGGCCTTCACCAAGTGAGAGCCTAAGTGAATATATTGTCATCAAAATGTAATTCTTTAAAGCTCATGAACAGTCAAAATCATGTTTTTCATGAAATTGGATGATATTTGAAGGAAACCAGATCAAAGTATGATGAACAAAGTATGAAAATGACGGTTGCGTCTTCATTAATCAAGTTTGATCATAAAGTTACTGTTACCCTCCCCCATGTCAAACACTTGGAATCATTATTAAGAGGACAAGGTGACATCACCTTAACTCTCATTTTAATACACCAATGGTAACATGATATTCTGTCACATAATTTAAATAAGTACTGCCTCGTATCCAACATTGGAGAAGGCATGTTTGCAAAAGGGTGTGGTTTATATAGCTAGATAACTCCTCTACTGGTGTCTAATGCATATATTAGGGCCTAATTCATTTATTTCAATTGACTGATTTCCTTCTATGAACTGTAACTTAGTAAAATCTTTGAAATTGTTGCATGTTGCATTTATAATTTTTTTCAGTATAGTTAATTTAACACCTGAATCAACACTAGAAATGTTACACTGAGAAATCAACACTAGGTTACACTGGCCAATTTAAAAGCAACACCAGCCGGCTTCAGTCCATTCATAGTAACACAAAGTAACATCACATCAACATCAAAACTGCTTACACAAGGATATGAACACTGGCGATTTTGCTGTGTAGTGTATGGATTAGAGTTGGGCGATGTTCACCTTTGTCATTTCCTGATTATGTACTCATAAAACATTGTGATATACAATGGTATCTGCCCCTATTGGCCAACCATTAAAAATATATAATAATCCACTGAAAACCACTGTCAATTGTCAATTGATTTCGAACGGGCTGTCTTCAAAATTCAAAAGGCACTCGCACAACTGAGCTATCTTTTTTGCAGGTGCCTGGTAACAGTTGTATAAGATGAGAAAAAAAAAAAACGGGCTGTCTAGATAATAAATGCTTTATTTGCCTCATCCTCCTCTCTTAATATTGTTTGTTCAATCTCTCATAAAGCTGCGAATGAGATTAGTCTATGCCTAGGCCTATAGACTCCGGCTTTCATTCTTGTTCTTTTTGAAAGCGGCAACTTTAGGACAACACCTTCTTAGGCTATTAGAATATTTGGGAAATAGGCTACTGTTCATAACTTTAACTTAAAGCTTTTATGATAAGTCTAGCAGTAGGATAGGTTATTGGCCATTTGGTTTTCAACCTCACATGGAGGGATATTTTTAGGCCTGCACAGATAATTTATTTCTTAATAAGCTTAAACTTGATTAAACTTGTCATTACATTTTTCTATAGATTATTGATATCGTTTTTTTCTCTTTCATTATTAGAGAGAAACAATATTTTCTGACTGGATATTTTGCGCTGCTTTGGTGGAATTCTCCATTCTGTCTAACCTACATTCCTCTCTTACGTTCTGTATATAACATGCACTATATATACAAAAGTATGTGGACACCACTTCACAGTAGTTGATTTGGCTATTTCATCCACACCCGTTGCTGACAGCTGTATAATTAAGTGATAATGCCAGAGAAGCCGGTGTTTGGAGGATATATTGGCAGGGGTGTTGCAAACCGTGAATATATATCCTCCAAACACCATCTTCGAGGGCATTATCACTTTTATGCAACATTATTTTTATGAATTTATTCATACTATTTTATCCTTCCACAAGATATAGTCCCGACACAAATCTAGGGTTGCTACCCAAGCTAGCTGGTTTGTTTGTTCTATCGGTTCGGTTACCAGAGACGCGACCCAGTTGTTCTGTCTTTTTGTTCTGTATCTATGTTGTTCGTTCTAAATGTTCCATTGCTATACTGGCTGGCAACATTCTTATCCCTTGCTTGCTAACTGAAGCTGTAAAGACTGTAAACTTTCTTTATATATATCCATTAAAATGATGCCAGCTGATTCATGATTTCGACTGGCTGAGAAACACTAACTGCCAAGGTCGGAGAGACAGACAGCAAGGTTTATACAAATCTCTGCTGTTGAAAACTAAATGTTAGTCTGAAAGAAATGTGAGATAATGTCTAAATAGTTTTTATAGTGGAGATGAAGTTTATAAATTGCCTGGGTGGGCTGATGAGACAGTGGATTGCGCAGTCAGACGGAACAGAGTAAATAGGCATTTTAACGTCATAGATTTACAGTAGCCGGTGGTAACTTGTGGAATAGCCACCAGCTGGAATGCGGTTTTAACCAATCAGCATTCAGGATTAGACCCACCCGTTGTGTAAAATTCGAGCACACAGCCATGCAATCTCCATAGACAAACATTGGCAGTAGAATGGCTTTACTGAAGAGATCAGTGACTTTCAATGAGGCACCGTCATAAGATGCCACCTTTCCAACAAGTCAGTTCGTGAACTTTCTGCCATGCTAGAGCTGCCCCGGTCAACTGTAAGTGCTGTTATTGTGAAGTGGAAACCTCTAGGAGCAACAACGGCTCAGCCGCGAAATGGTAGGCCACACAAGCTCACATAACGGGACCGCCGAATGCTGAAGCGGTTAGCTTTCCATGGCTGAGCATCCGCACACAGGCCTAAGATCACCATGTGCAATGCCAAGTGTCGGCTGGAGTGGTGTAAAGCTCGCCGCCATTGGACTCTGGAGCAGTGGAAACGCATTCTCTGGAGTGATGAATTGCGCTTCACCATCTGGCAGTCCGACGGACGAATCTGGGTTTGGCAGATGCCAGGAGAATGCTACATGCCCGAATGCATAGTGCCAACTGTAAAGTTTGGTGGGGGAACAGTAATGGTCTGGGGCTGTTTTCCATTGTTCGGGCTAGGCCCCTTAGTTCCAGTGAAGGGAAATCTTAACGCTACATCATACAATTACATTCTAGAAGATTCTGTGCCTCCAACTTTGTGGCAACAGTTTTGGGAAGGCCCTTTCCTGTTTCAGCATGACAATTTCCCCGTGCACAAAGCGAGGTCCATACAGAAATGGTTTGTTGAGATCGGTGTAGAAGAACTTGACTGGCCTGCAAAGAGCCCTGACCTCAACCCCATTGAACACCATTGGGATGACTTGGAACAACGAAGCATGTGCGTAGCTCTTTCTTCATGGGTTGCGATGCAGGCGAAGCCTTAGTAGTTGCGTGAGGCGTGTTCCTGTAGGATAGCGGGAAGCTGTTAAAGCATTGGTGTAGTGTCCCTTGATCCTAAGATGCTTTTATTAAGGCATGTTTCATGGTATGTATGAACATCTTCGCCAGCCTGTTCGTTGATGGGTGATAGGGTGCGGACCTGATGTGATGTATGCCAATAACCTGTAGGAAAGTCGCCATTTCTTGGGACACTAGCTGCGGCCCGTTGTCGCTAACAAGTTGGAGTGGTGATCCGAACCGATTAAACACAAGCTTCTCGATGGTCTTCTCAGCAATAATAGACCCCATGATGGCCACCTGCTATGAGAATCCACGACCACTACAAACATTCTGTAAAACATTCTGTATTATTAAAACAAGACCCAGATGGCAAATATAAAGATCCAGTCTATCTATCTAAAAAACTGGAGGCCTCTTACACTTCAATGTTGTGATGCAAAAATACTAGCGAAATGCATAGCACTCAGAATTAAAAAGGTTTTACCAAGTATTGTTCATCCTGATCAAACAGGTTTTCTACATGGACTAAATATTGGAGGTAATATTCGACAACTACTAGAAATATTGGAACAACATGAAACATTAAGTAGCCAGGCCCGTTATTTATAGCAGATTTTGAAAAGGCCTTTGATAAAGTAAGACTGATTATATTTATAAATGCCTGGATTTTTTCAATTTCGGTGATTCTCTTATAAAAGGTGTAAAAGTAATGTATAACAACCCCAGGTGTAAAATAGTACATAGCGGCTACTTCTCAGAGAGTTATGAATTGTCAAGAGGAGTTAAACAAGTGTGTCTGCTGTCACCATATCTATTAATTATGGCCATCAAAATGCTAGCTATTAAAATCAGATCAAATAACAACATTAGAGGATTAGAAATCCAAGGCTTAAAAACAAAGGTGGCCTTGTATGCTGATGACTCAAGATTTATATTAAGTCCGCAAGCTAGATCCCTGCAATGTCTCATTGAAGATCTAGATAACTTTTCTGGACTCTTTGTACAATATTATGTATTGGATCTTTTACATTGCCCTGCAGTTTACCTATAAAATGGGCTGATGGTGAAGTAGACATACTTGGTATTCATATCACAAAATATATAAATGTGCTCTTCACAATGAATTTCAATAGAAAACTTGTAAAAATAGACAAGATCCTCCAACCATGGAGAGGTAAATACCTGTCTATTAATGGAAAAATTGCCCTGATTAACTCCTTAGTCATATCTCAGTTTACTCACTTACTTATGGCGCTGCCTACTCCTGATGATACATTTTTCAAATCATATGAGCAAAAAATATTTCGCTTTATCTGGGATGCTAAACCAGACAAGATAAAGCATGCCTATCTATATAATGAATATGAACTGGGTGGGTTGAGAGTATTAAATATAAAAGCACAAAACCTCTCTAAAAGCTTCACTTATACAAACGTTTTACTTGAACCCTAAATGGTTCTCAAGTAGATTACTAAGAAAATATCATCCATTGTTTAAAAATGTCCTTTTTGCCTTTGTGCAGATTGCCATGTCTCATTTTCGATGAATTGAAAATGAACCTTTTTCAAAGTATCTCTCTTTTTCATACAAGTAGGGCTGGTGGCCTCGCAGTTGGGAGCTTGGGCTGGTGGCTGATAGGTCGCTGGTTGGGGTCCCCGTTTTTTACCTTGTGGGAGATCTGTCGACATGCCCTTGAGCAGGGCGTTGACCCTGGTTGCTTCTGTGGGTCGCTCTGGATGGGAGTCTGTTAGATGACTGAATGTAATGTAAATGTTGAGCAGCTTCACTGCAAGTAGATTGTATGTTTTAATATTTAATAAAAAATAATAAAATACAAATATCTGTCTTCGAAGTCGACGTGTATGCGTTGCCATGCCTCCTCCGGCCAATTCCACAGATGAAGATGTGCAAGTTGAGGTACATTGCGAACCTTCTGACATGAGGAACATGTTTTCGCTGCGATTTTCTTCATAAAAACTATTGCACAATGACCTGAGTGTAGTGTTGCAACACTGGTTTTCCTCAGGGAAGGCAGACAACTGAACTGAACTGTATTGATAGCTTAGTTCCCTTCGATAAGAAAGTTCTGGAGCATCCCCTGTGGTTCTACCTTTGATGATGTCCATCACTTCAGATAACACCGGGTCGTTTCTGGTGTTTCTCCACACTTGTGTTTAAGTGACTGGTGCGTTTTCCACTTGTCTGAAGTAGAAGATGTCCACTTGGCGTGACTCTGCTTTGACCACAGGTAGTGTTAACCTGGATAGTCCATCTGCGTTTGCATTGCAGTTCTGACTTGCGGTAATTGATGTCGTAGGTGTGTGCTGACAACAACAAAGCCCACCTTTGCATTCAGTCTCCATGTGTCATTGCATCCACTGACGGCCAGTCCAGTGTGATTTTCTCCAACCACGAACGTCCCAGTAGTGATGCATAGTTTACTTTCACAATGTAGAGTGGCATCTTTTCAGTTTGTCCGTTTAACTGAATTGTGACCTCAGTGATGCCTCTCATGGCGACAAATTCACCTGTGTAAGTCTTTAACACGATGTGTGCTGGCTGAAGTGGAAGGTGTTCCAGTGTCTTTTTGTCAAACTGTGTCTGACACAAGAGATACAGCTGCCCCTGTGTCAATCTCCATATGAACCGGCTGCCCCTCTAGCAAGGGAGAGACATAGTAGCCGTGCAGCCCCCCATCAACAGTTAGTATATTCAGTGTGACTTCCTCACCTGATTGGTCACTTGCTCAACAGCCTAAACATGTCTCTTTTTCTTGCATTAGAATGTCTCTTCTTTTCAGTATTTCACGTTTTCTCTGAGCTCTTTTTGTTTCTGCAGGCTCGTTCAACGTGGCCCTTTTTACCACAGGCTCAGCAATCCATGTCCTTATGCCAGCATGTAGATGCCTGATATTCTGCTTTGCCACAGTGGAAGCATGTGCCTTGATTTCCCTGTCTCTGATTTCAGTTGCAACTCTGTGAACTTTTCCTGATGAAATTAACTGCTGAGCCTCTTTAGCAGCTAGTTCCATGGACACACTGACTGTAATAGCCTTTGCCAAGGTCAGATTACTTTCAGTCAATAGTCTCGTGTAGCTTCACGCCTTAGCTCACATGCTAGTCTGTCTCTAATGGTGTCATTTAGAACATCATTAAACTCACAGTGCACTGATAGTTTATTTAATGCAGCAGCAAACATGTGTCACTGATTCTCCCTCTTCCTGATTTCTTCTGTGGAACCTTTCAGCAATAACTTGTGGTTAATTACCTTGCCTGTTTGGCTGTAGCAGACTGTGGAGTGAATTAAATGTCTTTGGCCCCATAACACTAAATAATTTAGGCACAATTTTGTCCTCATCAATGTCATTTGCAAGAACAAAATATACAAACTGTTCTGTGTATGAGCTCCACTGCTCAATACTTTCATCAAATGTTTCCAACAATTCCAGCAATTCCAGCCACTATTCCAGTCACAGTTAACCAGTCAATGATTCCATCATTATGTGAACACGATAGAGGACCATTATTTGCCATATTGGCAAGTAGGTTTTTATTTAACTTGCAATTACACATTCTATTCATTTGTGGGCTCATAATTGGAAATGTATTCCAGTTTGCCCGTTTGTTTGTATTTGTGCCTACTGGTTAATATATATATTATCTTAATTCATTTTAGTGCAATGAGGTAAAACCTTCACTAAAGATTCAACCTTCCACTATTACGTAAGCATATTATGGAGTGAATAACATGATTTGATTTCCAGTTAATTATCTCTGCCTTTGTGAACTAAGTTTAACAAATAATTGTCATTCACATTTCTTCATAGACATATAGCATCACAAAAGGACCAACTCAGACAAAAGCAGTTGTTTTTACTCACCTACATCAGACATCTCCGGGACACTGGCGAAATAGATGTATTTTGAGAACTTTGGCTCATTGTCGTTGATGTCGTGGATCTTGATGTTAAATTCAGTATCAGCCTCCAGTGTCTCGTTGGTCCTCTTGTCCACCACCTTAGCGTGGAGTGTGTATATGGCCCTCTCCTCCCTGTCCAACCTCTTAGTGGCGTGAATGTCACCTGAGTTCTCGTCTATTAGAAACAAGCTTCCCACCCCGTCTCCAGTTAGAATGTACTTCACGTTACCATCCCCTCGGTCCATGTTGGAGTGCAGCTGTGGATAGAAAGAAAGAAAAGCAGTGTGAGAGATTTATTTTGCATTGGAGAGAGCAATCAGAGTCGGTTAGAAAATTTGAAATGTACACAAAACAAAAATAGCAAGTACAGTTGGCAGGTTTATGTAAATAACAGATTCTACATGAAATTCACCATTACAGCTTTATATCTGCCTTGGATTAGTCTCTCTGGACAGATATTCATATACAGCCAAGCTAGCTATAACATAATAATAATAAGCCATTTAGCATTTATCTTGAGATTTTGATTATTGCTCACTATATTAGCCTTGGATACATTCAATCCACAGACATTTGATTTCAGATTTTTTTATTTACTCTTGGCTGACCATCCCTCACAATTTCTTTACTTCATTTGTACATTTGAGAAATGGAAAAACAAGAATGCTAGCACAAGCATGCTAGCTCAGATACTGATCTAAAGATAATGGTTATTGTTTGGATCTAATATGGTTCTTGCATGGACCATGTATTCCACCTGTTTTGGGAAAATAAAATAAAAAAACAACATGGTTGCTCCGAGACTGCTCTGTTTGACACAGAATATCCATCTTGAATCTTGTATTCCAGCTGTTTCTTAGCAACGTGAGTGTGTACTTAAAGCTTGTCCCTCAAATTGATTGCAATGCTTCTTAGCCTAATTGTAACTGGCCCCTGAAGTGGCCATTTCTAAAGCAGGATGTGCCCTTTCTGATCAAAATAATCACATTCTGTGGGCAATTTCAAACGGACAACCCTTGAGGAGTCCTGTATTCATGTTACAACACCCACATCAATATACTCCCACATGAACAAAAATAGTATAGTATACTATTGTATGAATACTACAGTATTTATACCATAATATACCATAGTATTCCCATCGGGTTTGCTCTTAGTGGGACTATCGTCTGTTTTTCAACAGGACAATTACCCAACACACCTCCAGGCTGTGTAAGGGCTATTTGACCAAGAAGTAGAGTGATGGAGTGCTGCATCAGATGACCTGGCCTCCACAATCACCCAACCTCAACCCAATTGAGATGGTTTGGGATGAGTTGAACCACAGAGTGAAGGAAAAGCAGCAAACAAGTGCTCAGCATATGTGCAAACTCCTTCAAGACTGTTGGAAAAGCATTCCAGGTGAATCTGGTTGAGAGAATGCCAAGAGTGTGCAAAGCTGTCATCAAGGCAAAGGGTGGCTACTTTGAAGAATCTCAAATATAAAATATATATTGATTTGTTGAACACTTTTAAGGTTACTACATGATTCCATATGTGTCATTTCATAGTTTAGATGTCTTCACTATTATTCTACAATGTAGAAAATAAAAATAAAGAAAAACCCTGGAATGAGTAGGTGTGTCCAAACTTTTGACTGGTACTGTATATAAAATATATTCCGGACTGACATTGCTCATTCTGATATTTCTTGATTTCTTTATTTGTATTATTTTATTATAATTGTGTATCTTATTTGTGTGTATTGTTTGTTATTTCTTCACTGTTGGAGCTAGAAACATAAGCATTTTACTGCACCTGCGATAACATCTGCAAAATATCTGTACGCGACCAATCAAATTTGATTTGAGTTCAGATCATGGAATTCTGAACACATCATGCGTCTACATTTAAACATGTCTACCGCGCTATATTTAAATGCCAGTAAGCATTCTGCAAAAGGAGGTATAGGCAAAATATGATAATAACAAAACAACTTGATGGCAGTAGCTAGCTAACTAGTGTAACTCGCTAACCTCTTTAGCTAGCCAGGAAGCTAGCAAAGCTAAAGGGATTGCAAACAGGTAGGCATAACCATCTATATAACTAGCCTAACAAACATTAGTTTTTCTAAATATTATCTAACTGGCTAGCATTTATAAGGCCAGCAAAAACATTCCTCATACACTAGGAAGCTATTACCTCCAATGTTATAATGAAAAGGTGCCTCTCGGTTCCAAAACACACGTTGAAGACTTGTGGAGACTTGTGGGCGGAATGCTGATGACGTCGCTCACTGTATGCACTTTCAATACGTCCAGACTGAACATAATCAGACCGCAATGCCACTTTTGTGTGTCTAGACTTGTTTTTTACATTTACATCTACATTTTAGTCATTTAGCAGACGTTCTTCAATGCAAACATTTTATTCTGATAGCAGAACTTGCATGTACTGTAAGTGTCAAGTGTATGCATGCCCCAAGTAGCCTACAAGACCCAGCGACATGAAAATGAAATCATTTCATGGAAAGAAATAAGGGAAATCAATACATCACAAGAAAACAATACAACATATATTCTTGTACTTTTGTTTCTGCTAAGCTTGGTCCAATGTACCATCTAATTGCCTCTTTCTGGACTATTCATCGTCTTGAAATAAATGTGCATCAAGTAAGTATGATGAGTGACTGGCTTGAAGCTCATTACTGCACTGCTGATACTACAGTGTCAGAGGCTTATATTTAGCACGATATCTCATGAGCCATCGCATCCTAAATGACAAGCAGTGAGGGACACAGCATCATAATATTCATGAATATTAATATCAACATACTGAGGGAGAAACTCATTATTTTCTGCAATCTGAAAACCAGGATCAACAACAATGCAACTTTGGGAAGAAAGTGAGAAATATGCAAATGGAACCCTGTTCCATATTTAGTGCAAGGCTCTGGTCAAAAGGAGGAATAGGGTTCCATTTTGGGACACTGACTATGAATACAGCTACAGTCTGGAATAGTTTTACTCATGATGTTCATTGCAGAACATTGAAGAATATGATCAGCCAATATAATAATTTCAACATAAAATGTATAGTGGCTACTCTTCAAATGTGTTCAGAATCTCCTAAAGTCCTTTTTCATTTACCCAGTGTTCTTTACTTTCCTACTGCACATTCAGCTGATGACTCCTGCAGTATGGCTCTGTCCCAAATGGCACCCTGTTCCCTATATTGTGAATACTTCTGACCAGGGCCATTTGGGACATAGGCTATGCTTCTCAGACTCAATGGTTAATCACATTAAGAGAGAGAATTGACAGAATGAAAACAAAGAGGAGACCATCAAATAGAAGGGAAGAGGGAACATCATACAATGGAGCCATCCTGTCAGGTCTGCCAGCTAATTGGAGTTTGACAGTCCTTAGACAACACAGGACTAAGATATTACTGTATACAGGCTTGCACTTATTGAATTAGAAAAGGCAGAAAATACACAACACGCTCAGACGGTAAACACTAAAAGGTAATTATTGGAGGTCCGTTTATGGGCAATCTCACAAGCCACAAGTTTACAGTACACTGTCTGTCAGTCTGTCTGCCAGTCTGGATATCTGGCAGGCTGGCACACTAGTATGGAGTGGACAATATATCCTTATACTGCATGTATTGATGCAGTATTATTCAGTCCAGTGATTTATGCATTATTATGAATAATGCAGTATTATACAGTCGATTAATGCAGTATTATACAGTCAATTCTTGCAGCAGTATGGAATCGATTAATGCGATTCATGCAGTATTACCGATTAATGTAGTATTATAGAATCGATCCATGAGTAAAATAAGTAACATAAAGTATATGACTTGCTATGATATTTCCTATTTATGACCTAGGCTATATAGAAACACTGCCATTTATATGAACTTGTCCTCCAGAAATGCAATATAGTTTGGCAACAAAATAGAATACATATAATTCAACAGGGATGCATTGGAGACGATTAAGGTAGCACAGATAACTAGGTAATTAAAATACGGTATTGTATTTGCCTAAGTCAGGCTTGGTGGATAACAACCAAATTATGATAACTGTACTATATTACGTATTGGATCACTAAAAAATACAACTTTTACTTTACCGTGTAGTATATATATTAGTGCATTTGGAAAATATTCAGACCCCTTGACTTTTTCCACATCTTATTACGTTACAGCCTTTCTCTAAGATGGATTAAAATAATATTTTCCTCATCAATCTACACACAATACCCCATAATGACGACGTGAAAACAGGTTTGTAGAAATGTTTGCACATTTATTTAAAAAAAGAAGAAACTGAATTACCTTATTTACATAAGTATTGAGACCCTTTGCTATGAGAGTCAAAATTGAGCTCAGGTGCATCCTGTTTCCATTGATCATCCTTGAGATGTTTCTGCAACTTGATTGTAGAAATGTTGAAAGGCACACACGTCTATATAAGGTCCCACAGTTGACAGTGCATGTCAGAGCAAAAACCAAGCCATGAGGTTGAAGGAATTGTCCGTACAGCTCCGAGACAGGATTGTGTCGAAGTACAGATCTGGGGAGGGGTACCAATAACCTTCTGCAGCATTGAAGGTCCCCAAGAACACAGTGGCCTCCATCATTCTTAAATGGAAGAAGTTTGGAACAACCAAGACTCTTCCTAGAGCTGGCCGCCTGGCCAAACTGAGAAATCGGGAGAGATGGGTCTTGGTCAGGGAGGTAACCAAGAACGCGATGGTCACTCTGACAGAGCTCCAGAGTTCCTCTGTGGAGATGGGAGAACCTTCCAGAAGGACAACCATCTCTGTAGCACTCCACAAATCAGGCCTTTATGATAGAGAGGCCAGACGGAAGCTACTCCTCAGTAAAAAGGCACATGACAGCCAACTTGGAGTTTGCCAAAAGGCACTTAAAGGACTCTCAGACCATGAGAAACAAGATTCTCTGGTCTGATGAAACCTAGATTGAACCTTTAGGCTTGAATGCCAAGCGTCACGTCTGGAGGAAACCTGGTACCATCACTACGGTGAAGCATGGTGGTGGCAGAATCATTTACATAAAAAAAAAACATTTTAGTCATTTAGCAGACGCTCTTATCCAGAGCGACTTACAGTTAGTGAGTGCATACATTATTATTTTTACCCCCCTGTGGGAATCAAACCCACAACCCTGGCGTTGCAAACGCCATGCTCTACCAACTGAGCTACATCCCTGCCAGCCATTCCCTCCCCTACCC